AATTCCTGGACATAAATCTCGTCCAAAATACAGCAGAGCTAAATATATGACAAAATGCATTACTGGTAACATATTCAACGTCGCCCGCAAATCAACTGATTTCCATCTGTATATTAAGGCTAAACCGACTTGTAAATAACGATTATATTTAAATATGTTGCCATCGCAATTTAACAAATAATACGCCTTGTCACATATTCTGCTTTCAGTCTTCTCAATTTGTATCGGAGTAAATATTTTCGGCCTTTTAAATGCTAGGAGTCTTTGATAAACAGTAGTCTTCACCTCTTGCTCGTTAGTGAGACACTTTGTTGTTCGCTTAGCCCAAATTGAAAGAGTAGCAAAAAGAAAAAAAAACACATCATTTGCGTTCTGCATTGGGAGCATATGGGTAATTTATGTTAATATGGTCAGCCGAATTATAGCCCGTAGATCAGCTTCCGTTCTGTCGCAGTGAGTTGGCATTCTTGAAAACAAAATATCCCACAACTCCAGGTTTCTGTCGCTTAGGTGGTTTTTCACCTGAAAATTTCAAGCTGCCTCGCCGTACTAATGCAAGTGACCACATTCTTATGAATAAAATAAATGGTGTGCACTACACCATACTCCAAATTACGTCCAAATATGTTCTAGGGCAAATAAGCAGTTCCACGAGGGTTGGATCTCTGACGAAAAGATCGGCTAGTTGATGGCACAAAAGCTGCTTGACTTCATGACAAGTGCACTCCGGGGCCCCCACCTCGTAACTCTACCGATCAGCGACGGGAGAATTCGTGAAAAAAAATGAAATTTTGAAATAAATTCAGCTCTTTGATTTGCGTAGTCTACTAATCTAAGTACCTAAAATGGTGCTTTGATCCCCATTCGTAGACAAATATTTTGAATGAATCCTTGTATCCAGTTCTGTTTTCGGAGTTCGACGTGATCTGTCATTGCATCTCTAAATAAATATTGAGCAGATGTCCTAGTATAATTTAGCATCGAAACAAGACAGCTAGTTCGAACGGTCATTCAGCGGGTTGGGAAGCAAAGACTCATATTGACGCTACGTTTTCTCCGAGTTTCAAGAAGGACATGAACCACTCCACGTTGTTGCATTCGTTTTTCTCAATGCCAACTCTTAACACACACTTGTATACCACCTATTGACATAATGGATCGTTGTCCATGTACTGCTGGTTTAAGCTATGTTGATGAAGCCATTTTGCGGGCAAGTTCCTTTCCGTGGCTGAAAATATCAGGGTGAC